TTAATAATTTATTCAGGGCAGACAGCAGAGTCGCGCTGAGCTTAAGTCGGGGAGAGAAGGAGCGAAGAAGTGATAGCTGTGAAGAAACAAGCTCGTCAGCATTCCCTCCGCCTTAGTAGTCATTTCATTATCTCACCGTTCCACGCCCCTTTTAAGTAGTGAGGGAGCAGAGTAGGGCTATTGACCCCTCTCTGAGTTAGTGGCAGACAGCCGGACAAATGAAGTTTCGCCTCAGACCCCCACTCGTATTAATATCATAATTACCCCCACCTCCGAGCTCCAGGCCGGACAGCTGCAAACTCCACTATCTGATTTGATGGAGAGGCTGGGGCCCGGGAATTACATTCGATTAGCACTAAACAAAAGGAGAGGACATGGAGCGCTGGAATCAATCAGGGCTAGCAGGACAGACCTTGTGCTTTGTGTCAATGAGAGGCACTGAGAGTGATTCATACAGCTCACTTCACTGAACAATCACTTTATTCAAATGGGAGTTATTCAAAATCATAACTTTATATACAAACAAATTAGTCATGGTGGAATCAAAAATAACTATTTGAATGTAGAGAGGCTGGAGGATTTATTCGATATAATGTGGCGGCACATATTTATTTATTACAATATTTATAGAAATCTTCATTCAGTAGTTAAAATCTCTATAAACACGAGTTAATTTTGTGTTGTGAACATACAAAAATGTCAAACTCAATTTCCAAACTAAGGAAAAGGATTGACACACAGCTCCAATTTTGATTCGTTGATAATAATAATTACTCTTTTTAGACAATAGAAGGAGTTTTCAACACAAAATAATAGGAGCGTGTTCTTTTTACCACATGGTTCAAATTCTGATTATTCTAATATTGATCAAAACCATTTTAAACTCTTCAAAACAAGTCAGAGTTTGTTTGTTTTTTGATAACCGTATATTAGTTCATTTAATAATATTTCATTTGTTCTCATGGGTGTTTAAAAGGCGCTGTCATTTGAACCATAAAGCCAGAGAAGTTTCCAAATTTCTGTTCTTCTGTGAATTCATTATTTGTAATCCCCAATAAGTTTCCTTCGTCTGGGCCAATTGTGCGAACGGGTTAGAGACATTCGAAAGTGTTCTCATGCTACACTAAGAAAATGATGATGTGGCAAAGTGGAGCAGACTGAGAGAGAAGAAAGAGTAAGAGAGAGAAAGAGAAGAAAGAAAGAGTCAGTGAGAGAGAAGAGGGAGGGTGAGAGAGTGAATGAGGATGAGAAAAGAGAGCGTGTGAGAAAAAGAGAGAAGACAGAGAGAGTATGAGTGAGAGAGTAAGAGATGAGAGAGAGAAAGAAAGAGAGAGAGAGCCCCCTACACTCCCACTCCCCCTCCACAGGTCCTGGTCCCGTGGTCTCATTATCAGAGCTTTGACTCAATCAGACTGGATAAGAGCAGGATAAAGAGGCACGCTCCCCTGGGCTCTGCTCCAGTCCCTCTCTCTTAAAGCACCTTCACCAAACTCACTGTCCAACTTTTCTTTGTGCACACTGTCCTTTTCTCCTTACACACACTTTTTTATGTTCCTCAAATCTAAAAATCCATCTCTCTCCTTCCATCCATCTTGCATTCCCCTCAGTATTTTTCTTCCTTTCTTTGGGGCTGAACTTTTGAAAAAGTTGTGTCCATGCGAGCCTGCCTTTCTTTCAATCCCGGGCCGGTTGTCCTCTGCGCTCCCTCCTTGTCAGAGCTGTGTAATAGGAGTTATTTTCATGGCTGTCTCTCTCTCCTCACTGTGGCCGCTGGATGGCTGAATATTTACATTTTTCACTCACTTGTGACCTTTCCCGGGAGCCGCACTGGGAGCCCTAGTCTCCTTGCTGCTCCGCTGTTGACAGACTACTGCCTGCAAATCTCATATGGACACAGCCGATGGTACACAGAGAGGGAGGGAGGAGGGGGGAGGACGAGGAGGAGGGGGCACAGGATGGGGTGATAGAGGAGAAACCAGGACAGGAGTTAGAGTTTTCAGTCTGAAGTGGGTAGACGATACAAAAGTTGACTGGTGCTCAGGGCTTTGATTTGTTGCCGCCGGTGTCACTGTGGTTATGGTTTGTATGGGTGGCAATAAAGTGACTGAAGTAAGATGTAAATCTGACAGAGCAGGTCGGGGAATTCAAAATAAAACATGGCCGAAGCACCGGAGACAGAGGTAATCTGAGCTGCGGCGAGGAAGTGAGAACTATTCAGTGTATCCTGGAAGTCAGTCCGATTAGATTAGTCATGTGATCTAATAAAAGGCGTGCATCCTTTCAACAGGACTTAAGAGAAGGAAGAGGAAGAGTGGAGGAAGTGATCATAATGTGGGGAATGCCTCAAAGCAAATATATAAAGTGTAGGCAAAGTCAAGCTTTAAACACAGTTTATCAAAACATTTCCATAGGTTTCAGAAAATTAAAACTATTTTTTACCTGATTCAAACTGATTCACAACAATTTACTACACATCTAAGAAAAAACTTTTTAAACAATGAATTAAATTGAACTATTTTTAAGGCCCTATAGTACACAAATTGACTCTTCTCCACTGAGTTTAGACTTAGAATATCACCTTTTCAAAAACATGCCCGGAGTTGCGTTTTGTTTGAGTAACCCTTTATATTGAAAATATGTTGAAAATGCTCTGATCAGCTTTTATCTTTTTACCTTTTGTTCAGTAGAGATAGGAAATTCTGGGGCTGAAATTGATCCAAATGATTCTAGTGAATGTATATGAGGTTTAAAAACACAGTAGAGCACTTCCTGTATCACCACATGACATCAACAAGGTGGAACAGAATGTCTTCTCTTTGTAGGAAGAACTCAAACTAAAGGTGCAGGATTTGTGTGTTAAACATGTGTGAATGAAACAAAACACAACTCCAGAAGTGTTTTTGATGAGAAAGCAACATTATAACATAGATCAGAGGATAGCGTAACAAGAGCCCTTTAATGAACTACTCAACCCACACAACCTTCATAACTAATTCATTCAATAACCTCCATGAAATCTCTTAATTCACTCTGAAATCATTTGAATTCTTCACCCAAATCTCAATGTTTTGTCTCTTTACTTAATTTCTCCAATAAGATTTAGAGTCATTCCGTTATCTCTTCAGACCAACGGGGCATAAATACACTGCCGTTGTAACACCATTATTTAACTTGTGGCTTAAATAGTGAGACCAAACATCACAAAATACTTAAATTCCACAAACATTGCCCATGCAAATCTTAATCTTACTAAAATGTGCCTCTTCCACAGCCGTAATGACGTTCAATAAGGCAAAATGACTTGTGTTTTAATTTACAATGCCCTAATCAAATCAATGTGAGTGAATTCATAAGAGATAGTGGGAGACATGCTTTTAGCCTGCCTGTGTGAGACGCAAATGGAGCCAGATAAAGGAGAAAGACGTGTTGTGAGAGTGTTTTGTTTGCTCGGGAAACACTAATTATTTTGTTTGAAGCATTAGAGGGGCCAGCTTTTCTCATTGTCTTTTCCCAATGCTGAGTTCTCCTGCTTCGCAAACAGGCTTTTCACTGGAGTACAGCTAGATACAAGTGAGCCTGCTACAGCTGGGACATAGTGACTCAACATTTTAGCCTGGGAATATGTGTGAAAGTAGGCCAAGACATAGATACAGGCCTGTCACCATGATTACTATGTTGACTCATAGTAATTCTGTATGATAGATAATATATATATATTTTATAATATTTTGAGGCTCAAATTTTAACATTTTTTTTCCCATGTTATTTTATTATAGTACAAAAAGATTTGAGCATTTTTTTCTTTTGTCCCTTGTAACAGATACTTACTAAGTCGTAAAGTATATTATTGTGCAATTTATTTATTGCAGAAAGGTTTTCGTGGGATTTTCCTGCTTTGCGCTTATTGTGTTAGTGGCATATAATAGTTTCAGTATTATAGTTTATGTAGTTGACTGAAGAAATTCTTAGTCGACTAAAGGCATGTCTTGCTATTTAACTAAATATTGTATAAAGACAGATTAAAATTGTAAATCATGAGTTTAATCTGGCTTTTTATAAATACCAAAAACATACCAAAACTTCAGTTCACTCACTCACTAACTTCTCCTTTCTGCTCTTGTCTCATATAACTAAAAAAAGTTGACTAATAAAAAGTCCATCGACTGATTAATAGAGTAAACATCTAAAGTACTACAGGCCTAAATAAATTACACTTCAAACTGTTTTCATGACAGGCCTACTCAGATAATTGCGTATATGTCCACTGGATCTGTAATGCAGTTGTGTTGTTTACAATGCCCACAATAGTGTAAGTGTAACTACACACATTTGAGGCCCGTAGCACAACACTAGCTGTCATACTTAACACAGATGATAAGATGTATGGTGAGGTGATCAAAGCAGGACTATTTACAGGCACTCGGGCCGTAGCCGTGACGACCGTTGTAAGCACACTACTGTACAGTGCAGATCCTCCATCATGCTTTTACTGCCCATCACCGTGGCTGGGAGACAGGGGAGATGGCAAAGCTTTTAGCAGCCTCAGATAGGTCTGTGCAGGACGCCTGCGTATGGGCATGGCCATCAGAAAAGTAAATGACGGAGGAAGATAAGCCAAATGGAAGCAGAGGAGAGAAAGAGAGAAGGAGAGGAGAGAGGAGGCGGCAGCGAGGGAGAGGTGGATGTCTGCCTGCTGCCTGTCAAAGGAAAACGCTCCGGTTAAATGGGAACTGATATCATGCAACCCATTCAAGTAGTCCCGGCTGGGCTGAGAAGGAGAGAGGGAGGAGGAGAGAGGAGGGAAAGGAGAAGCGGAGAGAAAGAGAGAGAGGAGAGTGAACAGAAGAGAGGGGAGAGAAGGAGAGAAGGACAGATGGAGAGAGTGTGAGAGGGAGAGATGAGGAAGGGAGCGAGAGGGGCATAGAGGGAGAGATGGAGTGACAGAGAAGGAGAGAAGGAGAAGAGAGGGCGAGAAGGAAGAGAATGAAAAGAGTCCTTACCTGGAGGAGCCAGTAGCACCTGCGGTGAAAGGTGGGGATGATGGAGGAGTGGACGTAGCAGCCGTACAGACACTGCAGACAGACACAAAGAAGAACAGAACTTTAGAATCATGTCATCCTTGTGTCCCAGTAATCTTTAGCAGCTAAATTGTCGAAGTACAAGCTAACCCAGTATTCCGCAGTCAGAAACTTTCCCTTCAGTTATTAATAGTCAGCACATCCTCAATCTGGAGGAGCAAAACTCGCCTTTATAAGTTACAGAGCCAAAATCCTCCAGGACATTTAAAGGAGACATTTTACGCTTTTTTCCACTAGTAATAGAAACAGGTCCATTGACTTCTTGTTCAAAACTGCAGAACTGATAGGCCCCGCCTTTACAGTGACATTTCACTGTAAAACGCAGTAGATTTTCATTAAAATTTTTATTATTGAAAAACTGTCTATATAACCTTTTTGAACCCTGCATGTGTGACCAGGTGTCTGATGAAAGTCTGAAGTGAAAATGGCAGATAAGCACAATCTTCAAATGCAGGACAATACAGGATTACTCAAAGATGAATCATGTGAAGTACAACCTTACAACAGCTTTGAGTAAAGTTTTGGTGAAAGAACATGGTTAAAAGTCCCCTTTAACTCTTCTTACTCCCTGACACTACTGTTGGCGTTGCAGGTATTTTTGGCTCTGTGGGACAGTATGTTGACCTCCCTGCAGACTGGGGCAGCTGTGACCCCTGACCTCTGACCTCTTTAGGATCTGTCCCACATGTGTGCTAGCGGCTGGCAGATGGTTCTCCCATTGTTCTTGGTAAAAAACACAGTACCCTTTCTACCCCTGCCTTACCTCCCTCCCTCCTGCTGCCCTGTGTCCTGTTTGGAGAGAGGGCCCTGACAGAATGATTCAGGTGCCCCCCTCCTCCTGCTCACGAGGCTACCCGAGCACGTAACTAAAGCACACCGTTATTAATATCCTTATCGTAAACAGATAATTCTACGTCTAGGGGCTCGTTACCGCAGAGAGGCCTGATAACGCCTCACGGTATCACGCCGCACATTTTTCACTAACCAGCGCTCATAAAGTAGTGCTCACTTATGCCTTCAGTGGCTCTATGGGAGATCCAGGGGCCCGGCCTGTCTCCGACCCGACCCAAAGGCCAGTGTCTGTCTGGGCTTGTTTACAGCGCCTCTCCCTCTGCAGACAGAATATAGACTAGTTTGTCCTGCTACAATATTACACCCAAAGATGAGTGCACGGAAGCCCAGACAAAGCATGTTCGAGAGGATTTTACCTTCTTATCTATTTCACAACAAAATCAAAGGAAATCAGATCTAGACAATGCTGTATTCAAATGGAATCTGCATCCAGACAGTTGGAAGAGGAGACATATGTTTGTGCCAGACACAGCAATACACTCATACACTGATGCTGACAATATCTCTAAATTATAACAAGAGCCAAGTTTGTTAGTGTTCAAGTGAGAGAAGTCTAAGGCAAAGGCTAAGGTTGGCATTTTAAATTTTCAAGACAGGTTTGTAAAAGGTGAAGAAAGTGTTTTTGCAGCAGAAAAAGAAATAGCTCAAACTCCAAAATGCAACAAATATCAAACTGATTTAAAAAAATAAAATGTCTTATTACAATATATTTAATCAGAATAAAACCTTGGTGATGGCTCTGTCTTAATTCAGTCTCATAATTAAACAGAAAAGATTTTATTAGATGGACTGTGTAACTTTCCTGTTGGAGGGTCTGTCACCTGCTTATCTCCATGGCTCAAAAGTATAGAGCTAAACTTATCAGACTCACTATAGGCAAGCAGGCAAGTTACAGGTCAGATCTGTGGAGAGGCGAATAGGCTCATGGTAAGAATGCACTTTTTTCAATGTATTTTCTCAATTTTATTATTTAAAAGCAAAATGTATGTTTACGTCATACATCGAAACATTCCAGGCGCTGCAATAGAACTGCCGTGGAGACTATCAGATGGACACTAAAAGTTGCCATCTAAAAACAGTCCCTAATCAAGCTTTCCCCATGTATTTGTCAGGTTGCAGCAGATTCTGTCATAGAAGAATCCAGGACTTTTACTTTGGAGGCATTACTGTCAACTGTTACTGTAGACTCTGCTCCCCCTGCCAGCACAGCCTTGTTTAACTGTCCATCTCCCGTGCTCTGAAATGACTCTGGGTCTGCTGTCTGTGGGAAAGTAACACTGCTGCTTTTAATACACACATAAAAACAAAAACAGCTTGATTCAAAATGGTGGTTTTAATTTTTCAGGCAGAGCAGTTGTGTCTAAGTGGTTAGGTTGGTACAGAGGGGGACCAGTTAGGAGGCCATTAGGGTTTTGGTGAGCACAGCTTGGAGGAGCAGGTGATGAATAGGTCTTGTGCAGTGTGCTTTGGGCTTGTCTTGCTTAACTCAAACCTAGTTAAAAAGAGCAGGGCCTACAGAGGAAGTGTGTGTGCAAACACTCATTTGCCACCATCACAGCGACGTGATTAATTACAGCTGAAAACATGGGCCAAGCAAACACACATTATAACATTACACACAAGGAGGCATGCTGGTTTAAGACACAAGATACACACACATTACTACTTAGTCATTACATGTGAGGACTACTCAGTTATATTTACTTTGGAATTAAATTGTATGTTTCAGAGTTTTCAGTTCAAGTTGCTGGTTACTCTTCCCACTGTGAGTAATTCTACAAGTGACAAATTGAAATGTTTTTAAGACTTGTTTCTTGCAGTAGTCCTTCAGATATGATTACTTTTTCAAAATTTTCTTGTTTATCTTCAGTCTTAAGATTTTGTGCATCATTATGTTTGGTACAACAACTACTACCATTATTTCCACTCCAAATACCACCACCACCAGTACTACTACTCCTCCTCCTTCTCCTCCTACTACTACTACTACTACTACTACTACTACTACTACTACTACTACTACTACTACTACGACTAGTGCTACTTTGTGTTTTTAATTGCGCAATATTCATGTAAAGAACCAGTACTCTTACTTGACTAAAATCTTATTTGAGTAAAATCTCAGTTCCTCTTTCCACTGTGAGTAAATTACATGAGTTTTATGTTTGTTTGTTTTTTTCCATCTTATAAGGTTTGTATTGTATGCTGCTGGAAGAATGTGAGAATGTGGATTTTATTTTATGTTATGCTTGACTGTACTATAAGCCTTACTCACTTACCATTACTTGAGCAATATCATTTTAAAGTTCCAGTACTGGAGTGTAACTTGTCTACTCAGTCCTTCAGATATGACACTTTTCAAATTCTGTGGTTTATGCTTTGAAAATACTAGATTGTCATGTCCTTATTACATTAACTTCAAAATGTAAAACAGATGCCATTTCTTTTACTGAAGTAATTTCTTGAAGTACTACTTTGCATTTCTAATTGTCTAATCTAAATTTGAAGCAGTCTTACATGAGTAAAATCATCAGCTCCTCTTCGCACTGTGAGAGTATAGCTGCTAAAAGTGCCAGAATGCATAACTTATTTTAAGTTATGCTTGGCTGTACTGTACCTTCACTTGAGCAATATTATTTTAAATCTCCAGTACTTGCGTCTAACTTTTGTCTCTTGGTCATAGCGGTGTGTATCCTTCCTTCAGGTATTGCATTGGCTCTAGTGTGAATGCGGCTTCAATGTAAGTGAGAGTGCTGGTGTGTGAATGCAGACTGGTGCTGGTCTTGTTTTGCGCTGTACTCTCATCCATTACAGCTGTCTACAATCGGATGTATTCCTCCTCCCACTCCCATAGCAGTACCATCCATTACTCCAGGCTGGCAACGGACACACAGTTCCTCCCACTCCCACAGCACTGCTAACATCGCATTACCACAGCCGCTATCGGAACGCACATATTTGCACCATGCTATTTTGGAATATACTATAGAATTTAGGGGAAGAATTGATCGCAACACATTTTTCTTTTACTGGAGTTAGATTATGTATGAGATGTTTTTAGAGCTGCCAATGAGCGAGGAGAGGTCGATACTATAGGGTAGGATTTAGTGCAAAGTTGGATACAAAGTTGAACCAAGACATAAAGAAATACACTTTTTGATATTTCCATAACTGTGTTAATTGAGAACACAAAATAATCAGAAGAACTAACACAAAATAAGCAAAAATAAGAAATATCAATCCATTCTATCAAAAAAGTAGTCATGTTTTCAATTAGTTTTATCTGGCTGTTTATGTGACATTAAGACCATGTGAAGTAAAGGATTTTGCTGTTGTTCAGCATGGTGTCAGCAATTGTGAATAATCTCTAAATCATGATGTTTCTTCTCACTATAATCATAAAACAAAAATGAGTGACATTCCTACTATTATGAGAGAAAAAAGAGATTAGATAGAATTCCTTAGAGCCACAACAGCGGCAAAAAATATTTCATGATAGAGCAGTGCCTTGCAGAAAATATGAATTCTACAAAAGCAACAGATGTTAAATGATGTGAAAGGAAAAAAAAAAAGTGTTTCGGAGTAAAATATAATTGCAAAATGTGTACAAAAACAGAAAAATTATTTGATGAATGGAAGATTAGGAAAAATAACTTTAGAATCTCAGCTGAACACTAAATTAACACAATTGCAGTAGTAAAAATAGCACATTTAACGCTAATGAATGCCATAAGAGCTATAGGCCACAGTGTGATCATTTGCCAGTGACAGTGTCTTGTAGCTGTTGGATGACACTTTGTTGGCGTCTCAGGATTGACAGGTGGGCTGCCTCTGTGACTGTAGAGCTGAGCTGTGAATACATTAGGCCCCAGGCAGCTTTCCCTTCTCTCTGTTCACTCCATTCCTCACTCACACAGAGCAGTGAGTCTGACAAAGCCGCGCCAACTTAAGCACAACACAACTGTTGCTCCTGTCAGCCATGATTCAGGCCAGCACAGCCACAGACCACAAGTCAAATTAGAGCAGCTCACAGGCTCAGACAGGAGAAGGGGACCGCTCGGATCCCACAAGGCGAGATTGGGTCCACGAGAATGAGTCAAGATGAGAGTTTGACATAAATATATGCAGCCGTTCAGTTGACAATTTGCCCTCATTTATTTTATTTTTTGATGTCACTGCAGAACTCAAAACAAAACTCACCAGCACTTAAATTTTGTTAGAGCAAAATGTGAACAAATGAAATGTGTGCACAATCAATCAATCAGTCAGATTTATCTTGCAACATCCTGTGACACGAGATCTACTCCCATTTATACTAGACAATGACTTTTCTAGTATTATAGTATTAAGAGGCTTACTTCAGTTCACAATTTTGACCACCTATATTTTTGATAAACTGTACTTTATGTTTTGTCATTGTAGAATTGTTTTATTAAACTACAGTTTATCAAAAACCCATGCATTTAACCCTTTATTTTGACCTGCAATAAATGTAAATAAATGTAAAAAATGTGTGCACAATCTTGTATCAGTGTTATCCCACGAGCCCTTCTCCCATCCCTACCAGGCCATGACTTCTCTAGTATTATATTATGAAGCACAGATATTCACAGTGAGCAGGACAGGAGGGTAAACTGGATGAAAGGCCCTGTTGAAAGCGGCCCACATGGAGTGCTTATCAGTAATTCTAGACGCATATCTCTTACTGCTGTTTGGAGGCTCAGGGCAGCTTCGCCGTCTGGGTGACAAAGTGACGACAGCACCCACATTATTTGTTGTCTTTGGGCTGCGACAAATGACAGCGCGTCACCCAGCTAGCAATTAAAGCCTAATTATACACACATACACACAAAATGTGCTATTTCCCACTATGTCATTTGAATGGTTGTGCTGCAAACAAAGTGAGCAGCAGTGGCAGTAAATACGCAGGTGCAAGTGGGCACAAATATTTCCACCCCAGGCGTGTGAGCGTGTGAATATGCTATTGTGAGCGTTGGAGGTGTGAATGAAACACAACAGCACAGGGAGGAATTTACAAGCAGCTCGCCCATAATGTATTCAAACAGTGTCAGCGCAACGCACAGAAGAAAGAGTTACTGCGACGCCTGTCCTCCAAAGTCAGACACTGATGCAGCAAATTCATTTGGAGTTGTCAGTCAAGCGAGCAGCCAAGGCAATGAAAGGATGTTAAAGCCCAATGAGAGGCTCATGGCCTAAGCCCCTCCCTCCAGAGGGCGCTAGCTCTGTATCCAGTTCACAGGGCAGCGGGCGAGGCGAGGCGAGAGGAGAGAGAGTGTGATAAACAGTGTGGCCCGCACAGCCTTCAGATGTACACAGCAGCACTCTGTACCTGCTCGCTCGCCCCATGACATCTCCCTCTCTCTCATCCATCATGGCTGACAGGTGTCAAGCACACAGTGATGGGCCAGTCAAATGCAAAGTGTGTGAGAGGAGCAGACACAGTCTCCGGGCGCACAGGAAAGTTTCTCATTAGAGCATTATGATGTGTGACCCCAGTCCTAATCAGAGCGTAGTACCTTATTTATGTGGCAGTGTGCAGTTTTCCTGCAGTGATGCAAACGCCAGAGGCTGTAGCACATTAGTCTGTCTGCTCCGTCAGCTCAGCCCCACAACATTGGGACAGACTTTTCATTTGTGAGAGACATTACAAAGTTACAGATTTGCTAAACACATCCAATGACCAAACTGTAGTTCTAAATTCCACTTGTGATTAAAGCTGGGATCATTTTCATGTGTTCTCTGTTGTCATGGTCACATGTCCTGTCTGTCAGGCCTCATCTGTCATGTCTATCTCAGCAGCTCAGCCAAAGATAATATCCCATTTACTCCCATCTACAAAATCATTTGTCCCCTAATGTTTCCCGAGCTAACATTTGTTCAGACTCTAATTATGAATAATGGACTTTGGGATCTGATAGAAAAGTGCCAGCTCTTTGTGCACTGATGGACTGACTTGTTATAAAGTTGTTGACAGGGCGTCCACATGCTGCATGCTGATTGGTCAGAGGGAACACATCATTTGGACAGTGTGCTTGTGAGCGTGCATATGCTTTTGCACACAGACGCCTGGGGCAGGTGATTCAGCCTGGGGCTGCACTGCATAAATCCAGTACGAGCAACAGCCAATCAGGAGACAGTATCAAACCGTGTGGAGGAGCAGATCCATACTCAATAGAGATTCATGGACCATGCAGGATTCAGGCCCTCCTCCATTGACAGCATCCATGATGAGTATTGATC